GGCACTTGGCTTTCCCCGGGGGAATGTTTTAGAACCATTATTGCTCTGGAATTTATTTATTTTTTTTTGGTATAAATAAGTTGAATTAACCTATTTTTATTGAATGTTTATTCTTATTTTACAATGTTATTCCTCTTGGTGAGTTGGGTTGGGAGCAACAACTGTTTGCCCCCCCCCCCACTGTTTGAGCATGGGGCGAGTGCCCCACTTCACCCCCTTCTAACCAGGGTTTCTTTCAGCTATATCTCCAGGGTGCAGTGTCCCACACCCTCAAGGGAGCCACAACTGTAATGAATTTAGTTCATGTCCCACTGGTGTGGAGTTAGAGATCTCTTGGATCATTATTATGGATAATATAATTTGCGCTTCCCACCCGAAAGTTTAAAATGCCATCTCAAAATTGTCTGAAGGAAACACCAAATCTAAGTATGCGCCAAAATGTCTCCCTGCTTTTTTCATTTGTCATACTGTCTTCAGCGCCCTCTTTTTGTGCATCCCTTTCCCTCACTCAGATCAATGTGACTGCCACAGTATAGGGTTGAATATAAGCTTGTGCCAAATGATTACTCTGGGGCACGCCACAACCGGAGTGAAGTCAGTTTATATATGTCCCTGGGTGCCATTTATGCCTCGACCGACCCTTAACAATTTCATTTAAATTTAACCATTCAAAAAAAAATAATTTAAAAAAAATAGAAACATTGAATTCAAGTATACTCAAAAATCTAATCAGTGCCGAAAAGACAAAACTGATGACAAATAACACCACAGGCATCACCACTGAATTAAGGTCGGGGAGGAAAGATTAGAGACTGTCAGCCGCTTCAAATACCTAGGAGCAATAGTCTCAGAAGAAGGCGCCAAGCCTGAACTGATGTCTAGGATTGCGCAGACTACAACAGCACTAAAGAGGCTTAAGAATATATGGAATGACAAAAATATAGTCCCAGCACCAAAATCAGGCTGATGCGCTCATTAGTCCTCTCCATTTTCCTGTATGCCTGCGAATCCTGGACATTAACAGCAGATCTTGAAGAAACATTGACTTTTAGTTGAAATAAAGAAACATTGACTTTTAGTTGACATAAATAAAGATTCAAGAATTGTAACAGTAACAGTGGACACCATCTTATTATTATTTTGATGATTATTATTATTATAATTTAATGAAGAGCAATCATCAAAAAAGAAAGGACCCTAAAAATGTGTATGGTTTAAAACTATTTTATTTTAAAAGACAACTACAGGAAAATAAAATATTGAAGTAGTCATCAAGTGTAACCAATTCTTTAAAACAACCAAGATAAATGATAGCAATGTTCAACTATAAGTAACCTAAGCCTGTACCTACTGTAAGATTTATATCGTAACAGAGCCCAAGCCTGTAACTGTACTGTAACTACTGTAAGATTGATACCGTAACAGAGCCCAAGCCTGTAACTGTACTGTAACTACTGTAAGATTGATACCGTAATAGAGCCCAAGCCTGTAACTGTACTGTAACTACTGTAAGATTGATACCGTAACAGAGCCCAAGCCTGTAACTGTACTGTAACTACTGTAAGATTGATACCGTAACAGATCCCAAGTCTGTAACTGTACTGTAACTACTGTAAGATTGATACCGTAACAGAGCCCAAGCCTGTAACTGTACTGTAACTACTGCTGTAACTGTACTGTAACTACTGTAAGATTGATACCGTAACAGATCCCAAGTCTGTAACTGTACTGTAACTACTGTAAGATTGATACCGTAACAGAGCCCAAGCCTGTAACTGTACTGTAACTACTGTAAGATTGATACCATAACAGAGCCCAAGCCTGTAACTGTACTGTAAGATTGATACCGTAACAGATCCCAAGTCTGTAACTGTACTGTAACTACTGTAAGATTGATACCGTAACAGAGCCCAAGCCTGTAACTGTACTGTAACTACTGTTACATTGATACTGTAACAGAGCCCAAGCCTGTAACTGTACTGTAACTACTGTAAGATTGATACCGTAACAGAGCCCAAGGCTGTAACTGTAACTAAAATATAAGGAGACCATCATTTAACGCTTGATATTATCATCTTGAATACTACATTCAGTTCAGTTTTTATTTTATCTTGCTTTTACTCTTCCTTGTTTGCTGAAGAAGGCATCTTGTCAACTCATTCATTGTTTTGTTACCAAATCTTTTTAAGGTTACCCATATTTTTTTTCCCTTATTTCTTTCTTTGATATCACACTACATGGATGATAGAAATTAAACACTTTTACAAAAACCCAAGTTTTGGTTTGAAAAAAACCCAACATAATTGACTAAATGAATTGCACTTTAGCAAAATTGCACAAATGGTTGATAGGGCTTTTGGACAATTACTTAAAATATGGTAGCGTTTTAAGTATTAAGATGTAGGCTATATAAATAGCAGAAAGTACTTATATAGACAATTATCTGGATAAGACATTACAAATACATAATTAATTTTAAAAATAATGTTCCAAATCTTTAGGCCTTCATATTTACCAAAGTTCATAGTGACTCTTTTTTTTTTTTTTACAAATACCCACAATATTGTGAATAGACAACATCTACCAGTGCGTAAATATTTTATTTCCAATGGACATCAGAAACTTATGTGCTGATTCAGATACTTATGGGCTAATTGTCCAAAGTTCTCTGTGATGAGGTTGATTCAGATACTTATGGGCTAATTGTCCAAAGTTCTCTGTGTTGATGTTGATTCAGATACTTATGGGCTAATTGTCCAAAGTTCTCTGTGGTGATGTTGATTCAGATACTTATGGGCTAATTGTCCAAAGTTCTCTGTGGTGATGTTGATTCAGATACTTATGGGCTAATTGTCCAAAGTTCTCTGTGGTGAGGTTGATTCAGATACTTATGGGCTAATTGTCCAAAGTTCTCTGTGTTGATGTTGATTCAGATACTTATGGGCTAATTGTCCAAAGTTCTCTGTGGTGAGGTTGATTCAGATACTTATGGGCTAATTGTCCTAAGTTCTCTGTGGTGATGTTGATTCAGATACTTATGGGCTAATTGTCCAAAGTTCTCTGTGGTGAGGTTGATTCAGATACTTATGGGCTAATTGTCCAAAGTTCTCTGTGGTGATGTTGATTCAGATACTTATGGGCTAATTGTCCAAAGTTCTCTGTGGTGAGGTTGATTCAGATACTTATGGGCTAATTGTCCAAAGTTCTCTGTGGTGATGTTGATCTGTGGTGATGTTGATCTGTGGTGATGTTGATTTGTCTATGAACTAAAGCAGCACTGGGGTGATGTAAAGTTTATTGATGATATTTTGATATCTTTCAACAATAATTTCTCGATTCAGCAGTTTAGTGACAGGATCTGAAACAATACATGGAACTTTAGTTGTGGAATATAAAAAGAACTAGAAGATATGACCAGGGTTATAATTGAAGGCTTTTTGAGCTACTTTATCAATGCTATTGCAAAGTCTGAACATCTAAAAATCCATTATTTGTATGCAACTGCATTTTCATGAATTGAATCCTCAAAATAAATATGGAAATCGTCCATGCCATTGAAATGTAAATTTAGCAAATGATAACTCAAGACTTTCCTTATTTTTAAACAAGTACCTATGTATAGAAGTTCACATTTCTAACATCGCTGGATTTTGAGAAATGGTTATCTTCTATATAATATAGCCCCACAAGCTTATTAAATAGTCACAGTGCAAAGATTAAATTTTAATCATGTTAAAACAATAATAAGAACATTTTATTTAGTTGTAATAAGATTATTCTTAATTTTGGTTCAATGAGTTCAAGCAAAAATTTGAATTTTATTTTTTTGGAATTAATTGAGCCATTAACACACCTTTTCATTTAATTTCACTATTTTTAAAATGAGTTAAAAAAAATGTCTGATTTTCATGGTTTTCTGATAAATATGGGTACAAATTAAAATAGTAATAAATAGATCGATGATCAAATGTGCCTAAAAATTCAAAATGGAAAGACATAGATGGTCACTGGTTGTTAATAAAAAGAATGTCAATCTCATTTGATACAATAACAATATCTCAACTCTCATTCAGATAAAATACTTTCAACAATTCTTTATTTATTAAATCAAATGTATTCCATAATTTATAATAATAACAATTGATTACATTTCCATAAAATCAAAATTACTATCAGTGTTTTTAAGAATCCCAAATAGATTTAGGAATTTTTTCTGGAACACAAATTTGTTCCCTATATGGTGCAGTAACAGGGAATTTTTACATTGTGCGCTATTGAAATCAACACTACAAGGTGATCATGGGCCCCCATGATCGTGATATAAGATTATTTTTAAATCTTTTATATTTACTTTTCTTTTGTTGTGTGTTTCTTTCTGGCTGGGTGTTTGACAAAAACTTTGGACAGCTACTTGATCCAATTCTCGTCAACCTATCAAACTGAAACTTGGCACATAGACTTGTTGCCGAGGACAACCCATTTTATCAAATTTTCAGACCCTCCCCTCAACCCTAACCCCACAAACTATTTTGTGAAGATAAAGGAAATATGATGACACTGATTTGACGAAATCAAATACCCGATAACTGCGCTAAATGAGCACCTTAAAAAAAATATTTCAAGTGTGTTTGGAGCATAATAGTTTATTTTTTTAAATGCGAAATACTTGCTGTAATAAATCTGTGGTGTAAAAGCGGGTGGGTCGTTAGAATATTAATATAAAATAAAATGATAAAAAAGAATATGAAGGATTTACACCAAAAACTTTGTTATTAGACATGGGCGCCCGCAGGTAGGGGCACTTGCCCCCCCCAGATTGATTGGATAAAATTTTTTTAGACAAAAATAGAAAAAAAATTTATTAAAAAAAAGAGAAAATAAAGAGAAAGTAACTAAGCTGATGTCCTGTCCGTTCGTTCACCATACAAATACGCTACAGTAAATTAAAACTCTATTAAAACATTACTAAAAATTTTTTTCCCCCCCCCCCCCCCCCTGGAAAGTTAATCGATTTTTTTTGCCCCCCCTTAGAAAGTTTTCTGCAGGCGCCCATGTTATTAGGGGTTGTTTTATCATACTTATATAGTGTAGCTTTAGGTCTGGAATAATATATAATTATTTGTCTAAAATATTATATAGAATTGTAAGTTTTATTAATTGCTAGAACCATATAATTTTCATTGGAAATGTTTTCCATATTAGCAAATTTTAAAAACATCAAATTCAAATATGGCGGTATTAATAATAAATGTACATTGAATAAAATAGAAATATTACAGGAAATAATCATTATGACAATATCTAAATTTTGAATACCAATGTTAACATGGTTGTGCCCCCATCATGTATTTTAAAGAAAATAGAATCAATTTCATTTGAACAGAAGTACAAGCACTCGACAGATACATTGAACAGAAGTACAAGCACTCGACAGATACATTGAACAGAAGTACAAGCACTCGACAGATACATTGAACAGAAGTACAAGCACTCGACAGATACATTTGAGGAAACATAGCTTTATAAAGGGTGATTGAATTTAAAAACACTATTTTCTGGGTAAGATTGCGAGCATTAGTATGGGGAGGCCTACTTTCTTACCAATTTCATCACGTACAAATGAGAAATCAGTTTCTAAAAGAGTCCAACTTCGAATCCTTGAGCCTTTGTTGTCCATACAGCTGTTGATGTGAATAACAGCATCATCCAATATCTGATTGAAATTGACATATTTATGTTAGGAGTTGATGGAAGGATTAAGTACTAGATGAATGGATATCATCTAACCATACTAAATAGAGTAGCAGCTAAAACTAAAATATTGTAAGGCTTAAGAAAAAGTTTTCTGTTTTCTATTTATAGTTTTATATCCTTTCTAGTTTTCTAAACTATTTGAAAAAAAATTCCACAAGACTCATGTGAGAATATAAGAAAATATTCTTCATGTTTAATTGTAAGTAACCAAGTAAAAATGTGTGGCCAGTTGGTAAGTCAGCATTGCCAAATACTACATTAGCTGTGACTGAAGCTATCTTTTGAAGCGATAGCGCCATAATTATGGAACAGTTTGCCCCAATCTTTGAGGAACATTGAAAATGATAAAAGATAATTTAAGAAAGAATTAAGGTCTTTTTTATTTAAATTTAAATAGATTTAAGAACATCAGAGCGCTGTGAGCATGCTAAAGTAGCATGGATACAAGTGCCATATAAATATTTATTCATTCACTGAATAACTGTTCTCATGATTTTCTCTAAAATAAATCTGAGATGTTTATACTTTGTAAAGCTCTTTAAGAAACCGATGAGTATTTTCAGTCTACAGTATAAAGCAGGAGAGGGTGCAAACCTGCAAATCCGTGGACCACATGCAATATTAAAAAAAAAAAATAACAGCGTTATATTTCATTTTAATTTATAGTTTTAAAAAAGTTAAGAGAAAGAAAAGATAATGGTTTTTTACATTTTGGATTTCATTATGTTATTAATTAGATATCAATAAATATTTGTGTACAGCCTTTATGTGTTTATTTTATTATTAGAAATAATAAAATGAGTCCCTGGAAGAGTAAACTCACAAAGCAACTATTTGGGTTGGCCAGCCCTGATATAGAGAGTTTCGCAATTATGGTAAGATACAATTATTTCCATTGTGTGAATGCCACTCAAGTAATCTATTTCACTTAAATGACAACTTAATTGACCATATCCGTTAAATATAAATCAGGAAAAAATATGTTGAGAATGATTTAATTATTTTTTTAAAAATGTATTTATTGAGCTAGAAACAAATTTTGAGACCATTTTTGTTTCTTCATCCTACCTTGTTAAAGCCTAACATTTCCTACCTCATAAAAATTGGAAGATTTATTTTGAATAAGGTCAGTTGTCTTTAGTGCTACAACGTCATATTTCTGTAGCCACAGCTGCACAGGCTTAGTAAGTCTGCTAGTGGGCTTCAAAGAGCTTTTGTCAATATGGACCTAAGATGATATAGATAATACTGAGACAATATCATATGGACTTAAGATGATATATATAATACTGAGACAGTATCATATGGACCCAAGATGATATATATAATACTGAGACAATATCATATGGACCTACGATGATATATATAATACTGAGACAGTATCATATGGACCAAAGATGATATATATAATACTGAGACAATATCATATGGACCTAAGATGATATATATCACTGAGACAATATCATATGGACCTAAGATGTTATATAACACTGAGACAATATCATATGGACCTAAGATGATATATAACACTGAGATAATATCATATGGACTTAAGATGATATATATGACATTGAGATAATAATATATGGACCTAAGATGATATATATATAACATTGAGATAATATCATATGGACTTAATATGATATATATGACATTGAGATAATATCATATGGACTTAAGATGATATATATGTCACAGAATGGTTGTTACGGAGGAGGGCTCCGGTCCCGACTTATCACGAACTGTGTTGACTAAGTAGTGGTCAGTACAGAACCGCTCCTCTCTGTGATTTATATGGTGGGTGTCTAGGCGTTGAGACAGACAAAAGCTCAACGTAGACTTGGACGAAATCCAACAACTCAAACTCCAGGTGTCTAACGATAATGAAAGTGTGTTTATTTGTAAGATATAAGTTCTTCTAGTCATCTGTCGTCTCCCGATCACTAGCAACTATTCCCTAACAACTGCTCCACTCTATTGTAGCTCTTTTCTCTCTCTTCCTCAACTAAATCGTACTTCTGTTCCCTCTTCCTCAACTCACTTAACTCAGTGAAAGCTCCCTCTTATATGTGATTCTCTACCCCCATAGGTGGTCCAGGAATGCTATCTATAAACAAACCCCTGCCCCCTAATTTCCCATTGTTAACCCAAAAGTTATCATTGCCAAGTCAGGAAGGCCCGAACATACTATTATCCAAAGAAACAATCCCCACTATATCAAGATGTCAGAGTCTATTAACCTTAACTTAACCCCATTAACAGCAGTTTCCTTCCATCCTATAAGTTACCTTAACAACAATGGAGCTCTGTCCTGTACCCCCGCCCCAGTCATTTCTGACAAATATATAACATTGAGATAATATCATATAAACTTAAGATGATATATACAACATTGAGATACTATCATTGATCTTTGTATAAATTTGCTTGGTAAAGAACATGTTATGTTTTAATGATCTAATGAGAAAGTTATTGAATTTTTTAAACAGAACTAGTTCAAAATTGAATCCAATTATTTTGTAAATCATCAAACATGAAGACTTGGATAGAAAGCCAACTTTGTCCACATGGAAACTTTTTAAATGGAATAATTCAGTATGACACAGCAAATATGTTTCTTGTCCTTAGAGCTGGGTGTTAACTTGTTAATATGGAATACTTGATTGAAGGTAATAACTCACCCCCACCTAGTAGTGTGTTAACTTGTAACTCACCCCCAACTAGCTGTGTGTTAACTTGTAACTCACCCCCACCTAGCAGTGTGTTAACTTGTAACTCACCCCCACCTAGCAGTGAGTTAACTTGTAACTCACCCCCACCTAGCAGTGTGTTAACTAGCAACTCACCCCCACCCAGCAGTGTGTTAACTTGTAACTCACCTTGAGTGTTACAAGTAGGACTAAGAAAGGCTTCTGGTGTCCAATCAACATACAGTTACTGATTATAGGCAGACTTATTTTTAAGGTAGTCTCCACACTTTCGCAGGAAACTGTACATCCATTGTCCAGTGTTACAATGTCCAAATCTAGGACAGAAGCTCATTTCAGTGATGTCTAAAGTTTAACAATACTGTAAATCCATTGTCCAGTGTTACAATGTCCAAATCTAGGTCAGAAGCTTATGTCAATATAATCTAAGGGTAAACACTTCTGTCTGTTGTCTTAAGTCTAGACAATTATTGTACGGCTTATCTCACGTGTTATTCTTCATACAATATTGTGCTAACATCAAATGGAAACATGTTCGCTAATGTAGGCCCAAAGAGAAACATGTACACTAATGCAGGCTCAAAGAGAAACATGTTCATTAATGCAGGCTCGATGAGGAACATGTTCACTAATGTAGGCTCAAAGAGAAACATGTTCACTAATGCAGGCTCAAAGAGAAACATGTTCACTAATGTAGGCTCAAAGAGAAACATGTTCGCTAATGTAGGCTCAAAGAGAAACATGTTCACTAATGTAGGCTCAAAGAGAAACATGTTCACTAATGTAGGCTCAAAGAGAAACATGTTCACTAATGTAGCCTCAAATAGAAACATGTTCACTAATGCTGGCTCAGTGAAGAACATGTTCACTAATGTAGCCTCAAATAGAAACATGTTCACTAATGCTGGCTCAGTGAAGAACATGTTCACTAATGCTGACTCAGTGAAGAACATGTTCACTAATGCTGACTCAGTGAAGAACATGTTCACTAATGCAGGCCATGTAAATCAGCATTCTAAACAAAGTAGTTCATCAAATCAAAATAAAGATCAACATTTTCTCTGTCAGTTTAGTGCAAGGGATGAGGCGTTCTTTGAGTACAAGAAATGAAACACAATATTTCAACTTGTTCATTTTGCATGACAATTTCAATAAAATATGATAAACATCCGATTTATTCATTTTATTTTAGTAATAAGACATCATGATTTATTTCTGGTGTCTAGTGTTAAAACTGCACCAACTGTGGGGATTTGTACCAACTGGGGATATCTGCACCAACTGTGGTTATTTTCACCAATTGGGGATATCTGCAACAACTGTGGATATTTGCAACAACTGCGGATAATATAAAAACTGTGGGTATTCACAATTGTGGATATTGCAAAAAATATTTGGGTATTGTAACATTTGTGGATATTTACAATTATGGATATTCACAACTAGTGTGGATATTTGAAACTGTGGAAATTGCAAAAACGTGGATATTGTTAAAACTGTGGATATTAGCAAAAACTAGATACTTGCAGCAGCTATGGATATTTGCAACAAATGTGGATAATGCAACAATGGTGGATATTTTGGGGAGAAAACAGGTTGCCCACCTAGGATAAAGTACCTTCAATGTTTTTAGTCACCGATATATATCCCATTGAATCTTTGACCACCAGAATCCCTGGACACATGTAGCCTTCATCTTCCTCAAACATGTTTGGGTCCTCAGCATGAAGCAGTCCCATGCACACATGACGGCCTTTGACATACATCTGAGAAACAGTATTTCCATTGTTACACTTTATAACACCAAATATGAAACTGGATATACATAAAGAAAGAGAGTCACTCCTTCGTTGAAGTTCCACAAATATTTTACAGGTTAATATTTGACGTATTATTTTCATATTATTTTACAAGAAGGTTACAAAGTTATTAAAAATTAAAAAGATACAAATAATAATGAAATGTTCTTATATTTTGAGATTGAACTCCAATTGTATGTATGATCCCTAATGAAAGTCAACTTGTATGTATGATCCCTAATGAAAGTCAACTTGTATGTATGATCCCTAATTAAGGTCAACTTGTATGTATGATCCCTAATTAAAGTCAACTTGTATGTATGATCCCTAATGAAAGTCAACTTGTATGTATGATCCCTAATGAAAGTCAACTTGTATGTATGATCCCTAATGAAAGTCAACTTGTATGTATGATCCCTAATTAAAGTCAACTTATATGTATGATCCCTAATTAAATTCAACTTGTATGTATGATCCCTAATTAAAGTAAACTTGTATGTATGATCTCTAATTAAGGTCAACTTGTATGTATGATCCCTAATTAAAGTAAACTTGTATGTATGATCTCCAATTAAGGTCAACTTGTATGTATGATCCTTAATGAAAGTCAGAAGTAAACCCCCCACCTTGTTGTCTCTTCCTTATTAACGTCTACAGCAGCTGATATCCTTTACCAAGTTATAGAGAAGATCTTTTGACCAAGTTAGAGGGAAGATCTTTTGAACAAGTTATAGAAAATATCCTTTGAACAAGCTATAGAGAAGATCTTTTGACCAAGTTATAGAAAATATCTTTTGATCAAGTTATAGGGAAGATCTTTTAAACAAGTTATAGGGAAGATCTTTTGAACAAGTTATAGAATATATCTTTTGAACAAGTTATAGGGAAGATCTTTTGATCAAGTTATAGAAAATATCTTTTGATCAAGTTATAGGGAAGATCTTTTGATCAAGTTAAAGAAAATATCTTTTGAACAAGTTATAGGGAAGATCTTTTGATCAAGTTATAGAAAATATCTTTTGATCAAGTTATAGGGAAGATCTTTTGAACAAGTTATAGAAAATATCTTTTGATCAAGTTATAGGGAAGATCTTTTGAACAAGTTATAGGGAAGATCTTTTGATCAAGTTATAGAAAATATCTTTTGATCAAGTTATAGGGAAGATCTTTTGAACAAGTTATAGAAAATATCTTTTGATCAAGTTATAGGGAAGATCTTTTGAACAAGTTATAGGGAAGATCTTTTGATCAAGTTATAGAAAATATCTTTTGATCAAGTTATAGGGAAGATCTTTTGAACAAGTTATAGGGAAGATCTTTTGAACAAGTTATAGAATATATCTTTTGAACAAGTTATAGGGAAGATCTTTTGATCAAGTTATAGTAAATATCTTTTGATCACGTTATAGAATATATCTTTTGAACAAGTTATAGGGAAGATCTTTTGATCAAGTTATATAAAATATCTTTTGATCAAGTTATAGGGAAGATCTTTTGAACAAGTTATAGGGAAGATCTTTTGATCAAGTTATAGAAAATATCTTTTGATCAAGTTATAGGGAAGATCTTTTGAACAAGTTATAGAAAATATCTTTTGAACAAGTTATGATTCTCTCTATTTCCTCAATATTTGAGCAAATATTTCAAAATTACATTCAAAGAAAGACTTAGTTAATAGCACCAACCATCCTACACCACCAACCATCCCATAACATCAACCATCCTATACCATCAACCATCCTACACCATCAACCATCCTACACCATCAACCATCCTATAACACCAACCATCCTATACCATCAACCATCCTACACCATCAACCATCCTATACCATCAACCATCCTACACCATCAACCATCCTATAACACCAACCATCCTATACCACCAACCATCCTACACCATCAACCATCCTATAACACCAACCATCCTATACCATCAACCATCCTACACCATCAACCATCCTATAACACCAACCATCCTATACCATCAACCATCCTACACCATCAACCATCCTATACCACCAACCATCCTATACCATCAACCATCCTACACCATCAACCATCCTACACCATCAACTGGCCTATACCACCAACCATCCTACACCATCAACCATCCTATACCATCATATACTCGATCAAAGCATGTTTATAACTTGCATACATCCAGTCTAAAGATACCTACAATGTCACCATAATGACTCTCAGGGAACTGAGTACTAATTCTTGACTGTAATCCTGACAGTTCCTTGCCAGCAGAGCCAAGCTTGTAATCATTGAGCTTGTTGATACAATGTGGACCTTGCAATGGCAATTCATGGTTAGAAATATGGTATTTTAATAGTAACTGATGGTAAGAAATGTGGACCTAGAAATAGCAAGTGATGGTTAGGAATATGGACCTAGCAAGGGCAAGAGATGGTTAGGAATATGGACCTAGCAAGGGCAAGAGATGTTTAGGAATATGGATCTAGCAAGGGCAAGAGATGTTTATAATTACGGATCTTACAAGGGCAAGGGATGGTTAGAAATATGGATCTAGCAATGCCAAGTGATGGTTAATAATATTGATCTAGCAAGGGCAAGTGATGGTTAGAAATATTGACCTCGTACATACCAGACATATATGGTACATACCAGACATATGTTACCTATACATAGATTAGTAAATACCGTATTTTCCGGCTTGTAAGATGAATTTTTAACCCATGAAAATCTTTTCAAAAGTCGGGGGTCGTCTTATAAGCTGGTATACAGCGTGCTGAAACTTCAGGGACAGGCGCCGTCTAGTTCCAGTTTGGTTGACAGCTTAGACAACAAACAGCATGGCAGCTATCCATGGGTTTAATGTCTTATCCTTCCTTTCAGCTTTAGAGTGGATTAGGAAAAGTTTAATCCACTTGCACTGTTTAATGTTTACATGTTTGATGACAAACAGCCTTGTGTTTATAAGTGACAGTTTTCCTGCCAAGTACCTGCATGTCATCAAATCTGTTTTTTTTTTTTTTATTTGGTGTGCTTTGGAAAAGGGGTAGCTTACACAGCGAGTATAGCCCATACCTTATATGTTTAAACAGGAAAAGTAGTGCGATTGTCTTCTACGCCCAGTTGTCTAATACGCTGGAAAATACGGTAGTTGCCTACATACCAGAGAGATATGGTACATACCAGACATTTATGGTACATACCAGATATATATGGTACATATCAGATGAATATGGTACAGAGCAGACATATATGGTACATATCAGACATATATGGTACATACCAGACATATATTATGTTACATGTACATCACAGATAAATAATTAATAGCCAACACACCAGACATATATGGTACATAGCAGACATATATTTAATATAAATATCGTCCGCAAACAAGAACTCCCGCAGCAAGACCTTTCTTGTATTAGTCTTAGCTCGAAGGCGGGCAATGTTAAATAATTTGCCGTCAGCTCTAGTGTGGATGTGTATCCCCTCGCTGTTGTTCTTAAAGGCATACTGGAGTAGGATGGAGAAAAAGATTGCAAATAAAGTAGGAGCCAGCACGCAACCTTGCTTTATTCCACTACCCACTGGAAAAGCTTCTGAGGCGGCACCGTTATAGCACACTGTCCCCTGCATGTTTTCGTGGAGCTGCTTGATGATGTTAAGCAGTCGTGCAGGGCAGCCTATCTTTTTGAGGATCTTTGGTATCTCACACAGCAGACGGCCTGCAGAGCCTCGTATCCAGCCTATCCGCTGCCTGCAAAGAGTTTGGCCTGATAATTAGCCTAAAGAAAACTAACATTATGACACAGGGCGCTGACTCCCTCCCCAATATAACCATCGACAACTGTGACTTGGATACTGTTGACAGATTCACATATCTGGGATCCAACATATCGAGCACCCTCACAATGGAAGATGAGATAAGTGGGAAGATAGGGAAGGCCGCAACTGTTATGGCCAGACTGAAGAAAAGAGTCTGGTCAAACGTCAAACTCACAACAAGAACTAAGCTGCAGGCGTACCAGGCCTGCGTACTGAGCACACTCCTGTATGGATGCGAGTCGTGGACCACATACTCTAACCACGAAAGAAGGCTCAATGGCTTCCACCTCAGATGCCTGCGCCGCATCCTTGACATTAAATGGCAAGACAAAGTCCCCAACACGGATGTCCTGTCCCAAACAAACATGTGTAGCGTCCCAGCCATGTTAATCCAAAGACGCCTCCGCTGGCTTGGACACATCAAGCGAATGCAACCGGGTCGCATACCAAAGGACATGCTATACAGCGAGCTGGCGACAGGAAAAAGGTCAGTTGGACGGCCTCGTCTGCGATACTTAGACATATGCAAAAGAGACATGAAGTCGGCCAACATCAACATCTCAAACTGGGAGGAGCTGGCAGATGATCGATCCTCATGGTGGGGCGTCGTGAAGGCAGGATCACTACATGCCGAGGAGCAAAACAGGGCGGAAACAGCTGCAAAAAAAAGCAAGGAGGAAGGCCGGTAAATACTGCTCCACCGCATTCATGTGTGGGAAATGTAACAGAGACTGCCATTCGAGGATTGGTCTCACCAGCCACACCAAGAGCTGCAAGCAATAAAGATAATCTATCATCACCCGCAGATGGAAAGATGCCATACATACATACATACATACATATACATATATATATATATATATATATATATATATATATAGTAGCCCACATAGCAGACATATATGGTACATAACAGACATATATGGTACATAACATATATTGTACAAAGCAGACATATATAGTAGCCTACATACCAGACAAATATGATACATAACAGATATATATGGTACATAGTAATATTAGATAGTAGCCCATACACCAGACAGATATTGTATCGGATAAATAAAAAATATATCTTGTATCGGGTACATAGCAGACAGATCTTGTACTGGGTACATAACAGACAGATATTGTACTGGGTACGTAACAGACAGATATTGTACCGAGTACATAACAGATACTTATTTATAGTAACCTACATACCAGAGAGATATGGTGAGTCGAGAACGTCACATATTGGAATCCCAAGGTTTAAGAAGAACTTTTGCGTACTCAATCGCAGTGGTCCCTCTATGGCTAAAAATAGCTTGCTGCGATCTAGTCCCAACTTTTTCTTGACTTCCCTTTGTATATACACATCACGATTTTTCTTAGGATGCCTAATTTATAATAAGACGATATCAATATCATTTAAGGAATTTAAGTTTGGCAATAGCATATATAGTCTGATTAAATTGGCATTTTCACATATATAGCTATCTATATATATCTATATCTATATATATATATCCTCAGTAGCTATGTATAGCTCTATAATGTAAAGTCTGAGTGCTAGCAATCCTGACCTTAGGCTGTAGATACATTCCTCTATGGTGAAATTTTTCTTGGTGATCAGGTAATGAAAGATTGGAAGTCTGAGTGCTAACAATCCTTTACCTTAGGCTGTAGGTACATTCCTCTATGGTGAAACTGTTCTTGGTGATCAGGTAATGAAAGATTGGAAGTCTGATTGCTAACAATCCTTTACCTTAGGGTGTAGGTACATTCCTCTATGGTGAAATTGTTCTTGGTGATCAGGTAATGAAAGATTGGGTTGATGTGCTTCCAGCGTTGTCTCAACTTTTTCTCTAATAAAATCCAGACGCGGTTGGTGGCAAAGAAAAGAGTTGGCCGCACCAGTTTCACCATGTTGATCAAGTTACCCTGTCAAAAAACAAATGTGGCCTATATACAGCGAGAACACTTGGAGATTTTATAGATATCATAGGAAATGTACACTAGGATATTATATAGATAGTTGCATAGTAAATGCACCATTGGATATTATATTTATAGGTGCATTGGTTAGTGTACACTTGGATATTACATAAATAGGTTAGCAAGTGTACACGTGGATATTATAAAGAAAGCTGCATAGTAAGTGAACATTTGGCTACTATATAGCCAGATAAGTGTAAAAGTCTGAATTTAAATAATAATTTGTCAATCCATCTAACAGTTAAAACTAAACCTTGTCCATCTACTGAACAGTTGCCTTTCATTAAGACAAACAAAATATGTAGAGCCGTTCCACAGATATTTCTAAAGCCCCAATAACTTAAACAGTTTCCATAAAAAACAATAACATTTTCTTTCCAAATGTATTACTTCAAAAAATGATTTTTTCATCTTTAATATAAAAAAAATTATTTGAAGTCTGCAATCATTACAGTTCATTTGTTTTGTAATTCTATTTCTTGGAAAACTTGATACCTTCCAAACACTGCGATTTGAAAAGAAAACAGAGGTTCCATTGGCGATGGGAAACAGCATTTCAATGACCAGGCCAATGGCCCGATTCAGGGAGAGATAACTGAGAATTCTACTAGGCATACACAAGGCCTCTTCTTTTTGTAGACTGTCCAAGGTTTCCTCCGAGCCGAGTTCTTCTTTTAGCTTTCTAGCCATGAATGTCAGCTGCAGTTAAAGTAAAGCCGTGAATGTGAAAGTTTACAAAGATGAATGAAATGTGATGCGGGTTGTTGTGTTGTAAATGGGCCATGAGAAGCTTGTTGAGAAAAAGTTAAAATGCTAGCGTTGACTGTTCAGATATGGGTGAAGAAACTTTAGGAGATACCATAAGAATAAAACTAAGTAGGATTTTGATAAAGTTTACTATACCAGCTCATTGATAAAGTTTACTATACCAGCTCATTGATAAAGTTTACTATACCAGGTCATTGATAAAGTTTACTATACCAGGTCATTGATAAAGTTTAGTATACCAGGTCATTGATAAAGTTTACTATACCAGGTCATTGATAAAGTTTACTATACCAGGTCATTGATAAAGTTTACTATACCAGGTCATTGATAAAGTTTACTATACCAGGTCATTGATAAAGTTTACTATACCAGGTCATTGATAAAAGGTATTATTGATGTTGCAAGGACGCAGCACAGAACATTTTTTCTATTATAATACAGCAAAATACAAGTGTAAATATGGAGCCATTATGAAGAACAAATAAAACCTAGGTGGTTATTTTGTTGTTTTTAGTATACAAGTTTTTCTTTTGCATGTTCTTATCATCTGGTCTTCTAACAACGTACAGTGCTTCAAATGTAAACTGGGAATGGCAACAATGTGGCTGGGTGTGGTCAAAGTAGCTAACTGGGAATGATGTGGCTGGGTGTGGTCAAAGTAGATAACTAGGAATGATGTGGCTGGGTGTAGTCAAAATAGATAATTGGGAATGATGTGGCTGGGTGTGGTCAAAATAGATGACTGGGAATGATGTGGCTGGGTGTGGTCAAAATAGATAACTGGGAATGATGTGGCTGGGTGTGGTCAAAATAGAAAACTGGGAATGGGATGATTAGGGGTTGGGTGAAGAATGGATTGGATTCATTGTAATGTGTGAGTAGACCAATTGAGGTAATTGAAATAAAACTGTTAACTTTAAGAGTCACAAACAGGAAATGGATCCCAAGACTTGGATTAAACAAACAAGCAGTTTGAGCTGTAAACAGTAGGCCCTATAGTAGAGTGAGGTTCGCCTTACAGGAAAAAGTACATTGACATTATTTAAAGATGACTTTATTTGATATAATTTATTATGACATGCTACTTTGATATTATTTAGTACTAGCGAGTACCCGGCATGCGTTGCAATGCCACTCAAGGAAAGAAAGTGTTTGCATGTTATGTTTCTTCAAGAGCTTTTAAATACTCAAAGTTTTTCTTGTTTTTCCATCTGGTATATACACGAATAAATCAGAAGATTTTCCGACGCGAGAGCAGGCCACATACATCTGTCCATGGGCGAAGCATGGGTTTTCCAAATTTAGTCCGCAAAGTTGTAGCGATTGTCCCTGTGCTTTGAAGATAGTCATTGTAGACGCGTGTCGCATCAGAAACTGTTGTTGAGCCTTCTCGTCCATGAGGGGCATCCACCGATCATCGTCGGCGTCTGCGGTTCCTCCAAGGGCATAGGCCACCTACGAGAGACCTCCAGGCATCTCTATCCTGGGCCAGCTTCTCCAGGATCTTCCATTCATGGCCAATTTTCTTGATGCCTGTCTCCAATTCTCGGCGCCAAGTGTTTCTTGGACGGCCTCTTTTCCGCTTACCCTGTGGGTTCCATTTCAGGGCTTGCTTTGTTATGTTAGAAGCAGGTTTTCTTAGTGTATGACCAATCCACCTCCACCGCTTCTGGAGAATCTCTTCCTCAATGGGTTTCTGTTTTGTCCGCTGCCACAGTTCCTGGTTGCTGATTTTGTCTGGCCAGTGAATTCTGAGAATCCTTCTTAGACAGTTGTTGATGAAGGACTGGATTCTGGTCAGGTTTACGGCCGTTGTTCTCCATGTCTCGGCTCCATATAGCAGCACAGGTTTTACCATAGCGTTAAAAATCCTTACTTTTAACTTGCTGCCTAAGTTGTTAGAGACCCAAACATTCTTGAGTTGTTGGAAGGCTGCTCTTGCTTTTCCTATCCTTATTTTGACGTCCGCATCTGTACCACCTTGTTTATCTACCATGCTGCCAAGGTAAACAAAACTGTCCACCTCCTCAAGGGCTTCTCCTTCAAGCATAATGGGTGATGTACTGGTGGCATTAACCTTGAGGATTTTACTCTTCCCTTTGTGAATGTTGAGACCCATGCTAGCAGAAGTGGCTGCGACAATGTTTGTTTTCTCCTGCATCTGTTGTTGGGTATGTGCAAGAAGTGCAAGATCATCAGCAAAGTCAAGATCATCCAGTTGATCCCACAAGGTCCATTGGATGCCATTTCTTTTCTGCTGTGTAGATGTTTTCATCACCCAGTCAATGGCTAACAGGAAGAGGAATGGTGACAGCAAGCAACCTTGCCTCACACCAGTCTTCACCTGGAAAGCATCTGTCAACTGCTGGCCATGGATAACTCGACAGTTTATCCCTTCGTACATGTTTCTGATTATATCAGTAATCTTCTGTGGCACCCCGTAATGCCTTAGCAATCTCCACAGGGTTTGCCTGTCAACACTGTCGAAGGCTTTTTCATAGTCAACAAGGTTGACATAGAGCGGCGAGTTCCACTCTAGTGACTGCTCTAGAATGATGCGCAGTGTCGCTATCTGGTCCGTGCAGGATCTGTTGGTGCGAAAGCCGGCTTGTTCGTCCCGCAACAGAGGATCAACAGAGTTTTTCATCCTGTTAAGTAGTACACGGTTGAAAACCTTTCCTGGGATGGACAGCAGAGTGATCCCTCTGTAGTTCGAGCAGGAGCTTAAGTCTCCCTTCTTTGGGATCTTGATAAGCTATCCCTCTTTCCAATCGGAAGGAACTTGCTCCTCTTCCCATATCTTCATAAACAGAGGGTGTAGCATTTCCACACTGGTTTCCAGGTTCGCCTTCAGTGCCTCTGCTGGGATGCCATCAGGTCCCGCAGCCTTTCCATTTCTGAGTTGTTTAATGGCCCTGCTAATCTCTTATTTGGTGGGACTATTACAGTCAATTAGCAGGTCATTATCGGCTGGTTGGATATCTGGTGGATTTTTTGGTTCAGGCCTGTTCAGGAGCTCTTCAAAGTGTTCCTTCCATCTCCCTCTCTGTTGCTCCTCACTTGGTATGGTGTTTCCCATTTTGTCCTTCACTGGTCTCTCTACCTTCCCTCATGTTCCCCTGGTGAGCTGCATCCTCTGCTTCTTTAGCAAGTTTATCAACAAATTCTTTCATGTCCCTCTTGATGCTTTTCTTAACTTCCTTATTTGCATCTGCATACTCCTTCTGGGACTTGTTTTTCTGTGCTCGGGTGCGGCTGTTATTCACTTCTGATCGGAAACTGTAGGCGTTTGAATTTGAATGGCATATCTGTTTGAATCATTGGGGTGAATGGCAAAAGTACATCACCTAGTTTAAATTTTCCATTTAAAATAGTAACTTCAATGGAACCAATTTCGGAAGATTCATTTGAAAAAATGTACCGTACCTAATGCTTCGATATCAAAGTGCGTTTCTCGTTGCAAATCAAGAGCGAAAAGTTTGTTTGCAGATCGATTCCGAGAGGCCATTCCCAACTCATGAATCATCAATCGATATGAATAGTATTTCATGGCACTGTCTTTCTTATTCG